CTTAGGAGCAGTGTTTTAGAAACGTGCTAATATAAGTAGTTTCTCGTGGTCTACTTAATCATTGTGAAATATTAATTACTTCCAGCGAATTCATTCCATTTCATTGATGTCATTCATCAACTTTTTCTTCTTTAGTTAGTTGTAGGCTGTAATAACAGTTTTGTATTGTACTCAATAACGCCTAATGCTACGCAGTTTATGTCAACAGTTCTAAGAGAATTAGAAAGCTATGAATATGTCACCTGTTGCATATTTTCAAACAAGTGTACAACTTAGTTTGTCACAAAACACAGACAAGTAATAATGAAATGCTTTGATAAAGTAATATTTAAAATATTATAAAAACAAATCTATTGATTGGAATGAGGCTTTCTCCACACCACTGAAGAATAATTTATATAATTTGTATCTAATGTGCAATTGATTAGTAACTGGTCTTGAAGGACATAAAATTCCACTCAGTTTGTGTTATTAACTTCACTCCATGTAGTTTCTTGATTTTATAAAATGCTCTTTTTTAATCTGATCATCCATCAGTTATTGATACGCTTATGCTTTATTTAAATGTTGTTCGGCGAGTTTATCCAAATTCTAGATTAATCCATATTCTTATAGATGGGTAGTCACTTTATTTCATTACGGCATACTAAACACTTTAAACTCATTATGTTTTGAAAATTATCTTTTTTCATCATTCTTTATACTACACGAATAACATTTACTTATAGTCTAAAATATTACTCGGTTATGTCATTACCTTGTCGTTTATGCCTTCGATATGGTCCTATATTAACTACTGTCAGACGTTATCCATATTCTGACGCTTGTGGTATTCAACTGGCTTAATGTTTACTAAGAATTCAGTGCCACTGAGAGGCGAACATGGTACCCGGCTGGTTCTGAATACAGATTAAAATTTCTTAGCTGCGTAACATGGACCATAAAATCAGTTAGGTAATTCTGATACATAGTAATTTTACGATGAGATCTCGAAATCAACGTGACATGATAACATTGAAATTTTCAAGTATTGGTTTTGGAGGGATTTTGTTTGATTGCATGGAGGATTTCATCAAGAGGTGACACCATTTAGGTACTGGACTTGAACCCCAGTGGGTGTGTACTGATGAAGAGTCCCGAATTAGGACATAACAGCTGTCCAGTACTCTCACGTTTCTCAATGATTCTCTAACTGATGTCAGCTCATGATGGAATCTTCCTACACTGAAATTATCAAAAAAGCGAGAAATCTTCACTGTTTTCTGGGGACAATGACTGTCGACAAGCACACATTTCAGGTCAGTGAAATGAGGTCTCTGTCCTCTAACCACAGAAATGTACTGGAGAGTCTGCATGGCTATATCACGCTTTATTCATACAAACAGTTACTCACTTACTTGAAACTCCGCAAACTTAACTTCATGTTAATGACATAACTACCAACATTTTGTTCTGTTAATTTGGTATTCATTTTCAGTCTAAAAAGTAACTGTATTCACTCTCATCTCATAAATCGATTCAAATCACTTACATCACCCTCTTACCTTATCCACCAACAAAATCTCACCACTGTCTCACACAAACAGACATACACACATGCACACGTCGACTGTTCATTAGCCTGTTCAGTGAACACCTCAATTCAACATATGAATTAGGCGTGGCTGATTGCCAACATTTTATTTTGCATTTCCTGCCTTTCTCATTCGTCATATGAAACAACTCAATACGAAAATATATCAATTAATAAATCAACAACGAAAAATATTCCCAGTTGTTTGTCTGAGAATAAGTCCAATGATCGATAAATAATTAGAATGTTGAAACATTCCCTTGTTGTAAATGACTATTGATTTCATTTACATGATCCCTTATTTGATGAGTAGATACAAACGTATTTGTCTGCGATTCTGAATGTATTGTTTTTTAACTGTTTAGCAGATTTTCAGAAATTCCATTGTTTTGTAGGTAATGTTAATAGCGCCCAACTTTATCTGTGGCAATAGATTACTATTATTCATCTAATTATATTTGTCTACAAAACATTTATTGCTCACTTCTTTTCAGGGTTTCTAAGGTTAGCCAGAAAGTGAAACACATGTTACCTACATCAGTATCAGTAAGAAGCTTGTGTAAAACGATGCTTACATTCATTTTCTGTTATGAAGTTAATCTCAAATGTTGGTTTGCATACTGATGTAAGTTTCTCTTTTTGTAATAAAAATGCAGGCTTTATTGGACTGTTCTAACATAGTGAACTGGTCTCTGTCAAATGAGAAAGAAATAATTGCTATTCCTTTAAAGTAATTTGCATAGGGTAATGTGGTCCAACTCAACTAGTTGATAAGTCTAAGAAACATACCGTCAACGTATTTTTCATATAACAAGTATATCTCTATAGATCACTAAGAAAATAAGCTTCCTAACAGCTATTTGTTGAGCTTTGCGAATTGACTATTACTTTCGTCTAATTAACATCACTTCATTTTTTCGGCTAGCAGTCATCTGATTGTGATCCTGAATGAAGATTAAATAGTGAATATGCGACAAAATACAGAATATTGTTGAATATTTGGTGTCATCTGATTAATGAAATGAATAACAACATATTCCATAGGTTCCTACTTTAGTGGAAAAAATCAGGTCTTTGTTAAGAAAGAAATCCCACACCAATGTCATGGTAAGAGAAGTTAATTCATCTATCTTCCAAGAATCATTCCTATGATTATGGGACAATAGAATACATTATATTGGAATATGCTTTTATGGTTTTTATTGTTTGTAAATAGCATAATACAAACATTTATGAGTAAATTATGGTTCGTTTCAATATTCACATTGTGAACTTAATCAGTAGGGTTCATTAATTACCCAGAACATATGTACTTCACTAATAACTATTTAAAGAATCATTCGTGTTCAATATACAATTTATTTATAATTTTATCCCTTTCCTTAACTTATAAGACGATTTCAGTGATAGGGAAGTAGGTATCCCGATGAAAGGAATTCTGACAACTACTTACTATAGTTCACAGACCTCGTGTGAGTTGCAGTAAGTTAAGATAATAAGCTATGGAACATATTAGATGGTTGGAGGCAATCGGCAGGAAGCCTTCGACCTAGGTTTCGTGCTAGTTGGCACTCATCAGCAAGGCATGCCAACTAGCACGAAACCTAGGTCGAAGGCTTCCTGCCGATTGCCTCCAACCATCTAATACCAACAATTCACAGTGCACCGTAATGGCGAACCACCTAGCATGGTGGTCACATTGCAAACATGACTGATAGAATTCAGTCTGCACCGAAGATAGGACTAGACACATTACACTAGTTACTGACTAGTGTTCAATCAAAAAAAGCTATGGAACATCTTAGTCATAGATGCCCTTATGCAAGTTGATTGTACCTTTGTAAAATTCTAATTTCTATATGAAGAGTAATATATATATACATATATTGCATGGAGGATTTCATCATGAGCTGACATCAGCTAGAGAATTACTGGAAAACCTGGGAGTACTGGACAGCTGTTTCGTCCTAGTTTAGGGCTCTTCATCAGTACACACCCACCCAGGTTTTCAAGTGGTTCTCTAACTGATATCAGCTCATGATGAAATCCTCCATGCAATCAAACAAAATCCCTACAAAACCAATACTTGAAAAAATATATATATATATACACCAGAGAAACGGGAGAAAGATATCAGTAACTCTGAGAAATGCAATTTTTAAACAATGGCCTGAAAATTTTGAGTGCATAAAGTAAAGAAAACACATACTTTAAAATTATGAAATGAAAGTTCAGTTCAATGAATGCACGTGTTCATATTCTAGGTTTTAAGCAGTCAATAAATGTTGACAAAATAAAATGGATCAATTCTATCCAGCTCAAATTGTTATTTATATGCATTTTTAGAAATTATTTTATTGTTACCAGTTATGTTAGGGTCAAAGGTCAAATCACCCACAGTCTGTCGTTTGATGTATGTGATTACAAATTTCAATGAATTATGTTTTTGGAATATGTGTATAAAATCCAAGGAGCTTTGTGGTTTCATCTTCTCTACTATTTCATTTGATTAGAATAAGTGGTGTGTACATTTATAATTAAATGTCCATCTATAGAGGTTAGTAGAATTTAAATTTAACTACACACGAATCAGTTCCATGCAGTTGTTAGCGTAAAAGAAACATGCGAGATTTCACCTATTTTAAGTAGCCAGTAATGTATTTATGGAAGGATAGTGTACATGTATGGGGCAGGTGATGAAAAAACTATCACCACATGATAGCTGGACCCAAGACTCACCAATATCTTCAGCAGGAAATAAATGGCTAGCACATATTCAAAAATGTTTTCTAATTTATATTCACACATAGGAAGGAGTACTCACACTTCGTAGGTGAGGATAGGAGAGTATGTATATTCAAGTCACGTAGATACGACTCATAAGGTTGCTACTAAAACAGTAGTCAGAGGAACATTACTATTTGATCAGTTAAGTTACCTTCGTTACACTGATCCACTCTGGTAATATTTACGTGATTACATATTAGCAATCCAAGTATTAATTAATGCCTGTTCCGCGAACAAAGTACATAGGTAAGTCATGTCTTCTGAGACTTGGAAAACTAGTAAAAAAAAACAAAGTTTTATGCATTTTGATGTATTTGACTTCTTGAAAAGATATGATTTTTCATGGTGTTACACTATCTAAGTATTTACATTATAAAAACGAAACACTAATAATCTTACTCAGTTGATCGATCAAACTGGCAAAAAATTATTTTTAATGCTATGATAGATACAATTTTCCTTCAATAAGAGTATAAAACTAGAAAATCATTTGTTCGCAAAGAGGAATATTGAACTAGATATGATTAAAGGGAGGTAAACACTAACCCCCATTTTATAGGAAAAGAAATACAAAAATTAGAAATGACAGTTTTAAAAATAAAAGACAAGTAGCTACTCATTTATTTTCATTCAAGGCAAAACTGGAAAAGACAGAGTAATTGTAAGCAACATAGTACATAGTGATACAAAAAGGAAACCTGAGTGTAAGAAAAATACCAAGAGATCGAAATTCATATAATAACAAGTATGTATAATGCAATAGTTTAACTAGTTTTGTTTCATTGAAACAAAATAAATATCTCAAAATAATTTCCCAACATCAATGAAATAATCGCACTCAAAATAGATAATGAATACAAGCAGAGTAGATGCTGTCATGATAAACATATTTCGCCTAAATCTTAACTTGAATATAAGAACAACGCTATATGAAATAAACTGTAGTCCTATGAGTGTTGTAGTCAATAAGGCATAGAAAAATAATGTGTAATACCGGTTATATAATGGCAATACAGAGTATGTAACAGATTTATTCCTGTATATTTGTAGTAAACCAATACCATTTAAATGAGGGAAACCTGAACGATATGTACATGATGGTACACCAATGGAAATCAGTTCACCATATGCCTTTAAAGTCTCGACAAGCGTTGGCTCACTGCTGAATTTCACATAATGTACACTGTCAGTTAATTTGAAGTGTAATGGCTCTCTAGGTGTTCTGATGAAGTTAGCAGCTTGCAGAAATGAAACGTTTGCTTCTGAATTTTCTGATCCTTTAGAGTTTTTCCAGTGAATGACCTGACTCTAATTATTGAAAGTAAAAATATAATTTTTAAGTATGGTCTTATAAGGTAGAAAAATGTTTTACAACATAGATAGAGGCGAGTATTAGTTATTTTATACTACTGACACTTATAAACAGTGATCTCCCCGTAGATTAGAGTCAACTCGAAGCGAAATTTCATTCTTTGTTACTTTAGAGAAAGGCATGTCAACAGTGCATTCGAACTGGTTCAGTTCAGACAGCCTAATTTCTCGAACTTGTTGTATTTGGGTTAGCGGCTTGGGTGAAAAAATTATGTAAAGAACTGAATCGACTGTCTCGCAACATATATAGTTCTCATTCTGTAGGTTTAGGTAGATGGACTACAGGTAACTGATAAAATACAAGATATTATTATATGAAGTCCGTCATCAATGTGATATAATATTTATGGCTAGTACATACTGAAATAATAATGATACACGGTTCAACTATACAGTAAATATTACAACTCACTCTATGAAGATGACCGTGAATACACAAAGAAGCACTGGATTGTAGCAACTTAATAGGAAACCAAGTATGATATTGAGTGGCTACTGGAAAATGACTTATAAACACATTGATTTCTTCGGGGGATTTTTCACTTTGAATATCAATGTTCTTTCCAGAAGGCATATTATCCTTAAACAAGTATATTAAAAGCAAATTTATGCTCACTGAATAAAAGTTGACGAATTTACACTTTTGTTGCGTAGATTTGGCAGGAAAGCTACCGTAGAAACGACTCAATCGTGCATCTGTCACGGAGACACCTTCTCCACCGACATCATTGTCTCCAGGTACTAGAAAAGTCTGTGAAACAATTTATTTAAAACAAATTCACATACAAATAAATCCTTCTCGGAAAGAAATATATCACGGAAGCGTGACATGGAGGGTAAGAAATCTGAATCAGCTGAAGTATCCCCTGCGTCAAGAAGATCTCCAAGAAAAATAACACCATCTGGATTAGTAAACTGCACAGCTTTTAAGAAATAGAAACGAAGATAACTGGGATATCTCAAATAACTATTGACCTACTCGTCACTGTCAGTTTGTAATATCTCATTTAAAAGGTATAATTTTGAGTGGTATCCTTCAACATGAGAGTCAGCCACGAGCAGTAGTCTCACTTCATCTTCACTTGGCCTGAAACATTTCAAAAGATGAAATTCGGGCTAACTTGATTTCAGGTGTTTTCCATTCTTTCAATGAAATATATGGCTGTAGAATTTCGCCGTAAATTAGACAAACAACTAAGAGGAAGAACTGAGGCAACGTATACCTCATGCAGTGTAAACGTCTAACCACCATGCCATAATAATAAAAATACACACAGTTCGTTTATTAAGCCACCTAGGAAACGAAAACGAGAATTGTGGAATGATGATTGGTCAGTGCAAAGACAGAGTTTGGTTGGATATTCATAACTGACCAATAGAATCAGTAAACGGTATAACTTATGTTACGTTCATAAACTTTTTGCGCAAATGAATAGCTTGAATAAGCAAGTTTATGATTTGTCTGCAAGAGACTAAAATCTCCATAAAATTTCACTAGTGATCCATATTTTCTATTAATACACAACTGGGAGCTTATTTCAATATAACACGATTAGTATTATAGTTTTGAGGAAATGAGATAATTCAGATCAACTCAAAGAAATGTCAGTTACCGCAGGAATAATATAACTTTTATTTTCTGCTACTCCAAAATAGACATACATTTTATTATTCATGTATATTCACCCTCCATATAAAATAGAAGAGAGTACCATCACTAAATCATATTCAGGACAACAGCAATGTAATACAGCTAAAGCAAATAGATTAGGGACTAAACCCATAGAATAGATAGGATAAATCTGTAGTCACATAAAAATAAGTAAATATTTACTAAAGGGACATAAAAGTTGACAGATTGTCAATAACTAACTTCGTTTTACTGAACTGAAGGCCTAAAATACCTGGAATATTTTAAAGTGATATGAATTTCATGTAAGACACCTTAGTAATTTAAGCTAGTGTCTCAAGAACTCCTCTTTTAATTACGGCAGATTACCAGCTAGTGGGACCTTGGTTCGAATACCATCATACCTACTGAGAACCAGGCAACTGGATAATGTCATCAGCCCTTCCACAATAAGCTTATATAGCCTAGTATATGGAAAATCTGTCTCGGATAAGTAAATTCTAAATAAAAGAACAACTGAATATAAAACAAAGTAACAGTTAATGCCTGAAGCAAAAGCTTGTAACAGTGGTTGTAATATGGTATAGAATAACTGTGCCATTTGTCCTTTACTCGTAACTCAGAATCTGTAACGAGATGTTGTCATTCCATACTTCATTTTGCCGTTTGATCCTTTTTAGTTTCCGGTCTGTTTTGTTAATTATTTATACATCAGTCTACTAATATTCTCACTTCCTGTTACTTGTTTATGTATGTGGTTTCAATATACTACCTTTACTCTCCTGGCAAAGTACTTCCCAACAAGATGTTTGTATTTCTGAAATATGTAGCCTTTTCTCAACTGATTAATATGCTTTACTGGTCAAATATCTGTGGCTCTCATTCATGAATATATGTTGTTTCGCTGATTCCAAATTTACGTTATTCACTTAGTCATGGCTTAACAATTTGTTGAGCTGGTTACATCTCTTGTTCGTTATCGTCTACTAACATGACATAGAACTTTTGAGAACCAGGTTGTTTGTTAATTATTTGCATTTTTGTGAGGAGGTAATAAGTATCTGTCACACCAACATTTTCCTATCTAACTATTTCCCTTCTAGTAAATCTGCTGGTTACACTTTCTTCTAAACGTAGAGTTCATCCCTGATTCGGCTTCATTAATTAAATCACATAGGGAACACCACCGATGAGCTCAGTCCTGAAAGAGAGAAACTACCGTCCAGGGTATGCACAACTTCACTCTGGTGAGCAAGAACTAATGGTTAGAGTGAGGGGTATTCAACCACACATATCAATGAATCCATCAACCAATCACTGGTAGCAGATAGCACCAACCTGTTTTTCTGAACTACTTTTACTCTAACACGCCTGTTTAAAATATGCAGATTACAGTTATGTTTGTTTTGACTGCGGCAGTTCATGTTGAAGTATTTTAATGAGCTTTTCGTGTCCACTTGTGTTTTTAAAGTTTTTGTATTGATAACGTATTCAGTTACTACAAAATAAGATATAAAACGCTAAAAGTAGTAGATCTGGAAAAGATTTATAGTCCCAGTATTTTCGGTGTTCTTTTATTCACTGAGCTGGTTGGTTTATTTGTTAGGATTACTTTGTCTTTCTAGACAACACATTCAGTACTACCTTCGATTTAAACACTTTTCTTCCCTAAGATAGCGTAGGTATGCTTTGAGTAAGACACTGGACTAATTTCATGAGTAAGGCTTAACTCTAAGGTAATACAGGATGGGAAATGTATAATTATGGAGAATGTTGCAAATTTTAGCCTCGGAAATGACAGGCGAAGTTAATTCTTTCTACTTTATCTGAGAAGTGACCTGTTTCAGACTTTATTATACATAAAAAGATATATGATGTCGGACTACATCGACAGCCATTCGGCTGTGGAAAAATATAGGCAACAGCAATATCAGTTAATGTTAAATTTTACCAGTTAAATAATGCTCAACTTATGAGGTATCTGAATAATTATGGTTTAGCAATGTTTAAATATACTGATATTTTTATTTCCAAAGGAGTAGAAATATGTGAATTTTCACCATTTAAATTTGTATCCCTAAATTATCAGTTGTGTTTTCAATAATAACTGATACTACGATACAGATTCTTTGTGCGTGTTAATATTGATGATAATGACAGCGGGATTTTCGAAAAGAGCACGCAATACGTATTTTCACTGATTTCTCAACTGGCGTATATGTGAGATATGACATAAAAATGTAGGACCTAAAATCGCATTAGTAGTTAATTTAAAACTCAACTGACAAATATCAATAATAAATACTGTAGATTTTAGCGACACGAAATTGTAAAACCACCTTTTACACTGAGAAGCACACTTCGTTACAATGTTTCAGTATAATTTATTTATTTATTTAAAAGTTATGGATGATCTTTCCGTTATCTGGGTAGACATTTAGTCTGGATAACAAGCTGCTTACACACTAAACTATGCTTCTTATTCAGTTTTCTATCAAAGTGACTTCGATTTATTACAACTGTTATCATATGTGCACAGACAACACTATGTTGTTATTACACACGGCAGAAACATTAGCGCTTAATAAGTCTGTAACTAGTTTTGAAAAGTGACCTTAAAAAGCTAGTAAAAGTGAGTGTGACTCATTTGTAAAACAACTTTACAGGCCTTAATGTTGAGATACTCAGAATGGTGAATACTTATTAACGGAAATAAAAATAAACTGTGATTAAAAGCGTAAACTGTTAGAATGATAAAGTGATAATGAATGTATTGTTGTAGGAACAGATAATAATGACCAGTAACTTGTATGGATTATCTGCAAGATTCGTTTTATGTGAATAAAACTGACATGACTTCTCTTTAAGTATTTAATAGTTGTGTCAGTATTCAATACCTTTTATTGATTTGATCCTGAATAGTCGGATAGTCTGTTAAATTCAAATTATCGAATGTTATCATCACTTTAATTATAACCTTAGGTTATCTAAAGATATTATTTTATTTTTATTTTATTCCTCTGCGTTCCCAGTAGATCATAAGGTCTCAAGCTTTGAAGTTACAGTAGCGATGTTGTTCGTTTACGGAGTGGGGCTGCTAACCTCACACCCAACCCTCCTTCTTTACCCGTCTTACTACTGGCCAAGCGTGCGTGGTTGGCAAGTGTTCTACCACTGAACCACCAACTCACCATCCTACGATATTGGTTTATAATAATGACGAAGTTGTTTGAAACTTAGTGCATGCTAATTTTGTAACAACAGAAGGCAAGGCACGGAAGGCAAGGTATCTTTTCAAGTGATCAAACTGCTATTCATGTATATACAGTTTTATAATGTTTAACCAGTCACTGAGTTTGTGATTTTAGTTTACATTAAACGACGTGAAATATAATGTCCAAATTCATATATTATTCTGTTGCTAAAGCGATATTGAACTGTGGGAATATGTGAGAATAATATTCCGTTAGAACACATTGTCTGTATCACACCACTGCAATATGACTATAGAAAGTTTACCTCTTCAGATGTTTTGATCATACAGCGGTAAATGATTTTCCAAAATTATTAGTCTACAGCTTTGATTATTCAGTAACAGATACTGACGTTCACTGTTTAAGTCTATTGGTTCAGCTAAACATGTCTGGTTAAGTATCCACGCTATTTGGCATACTGTCGTGTTATGCTTGGTCATTTGTGCATTCACTGTAATTAGCTAAGCAAACATCACTACTCTACATTTCGGATCCCAAAATATATTTTGTATTATGGATGATCAAGTTGTTGTTTTGGCTCGGTTTACAAATAGCTGTCTGGTCTAAGTACAGCGAGTACTTTGGAAGTAAGGGGATGTATACACCTGTTAACATATAATTGTATCTTGTGTAGTCATTGATATCCTTCGTCTCATAAAATCTTTTTTATGTATCATGCAATAGACGACGTACATTCACACATGAGAAAAACTGGATATGAGGTAATTATACAGAAGTACTACTGTGGAGGAGTTTGAACAGAAGCTTTTGATACTTGACTTGTAAATCAGTCGCGATGCCTTAGTCAGACAAAGGGAAATGAGTGAGCTATACAGTAATTCCACAGTAACTGATACTGGAAGGAATACTGCAACTTATATAATTTACTTTAATGAAGCATTTATAATAGTCCCTTAATTCCAAACAATAATTTTATCCAACGGAATTTTCATCATTCGTATATATTGCAACGATTTATCTCCGTTGCGAATAAAGGGGACGTTCAGTACCATTTGTCGTTATTACAGAAATTTATTTCAAAATCCTGTTCTACCTGGAATTCGTTAGTAAATAATATAAGTTCATATTTTCGTTTACTTCATTATACTTTTTAAGTACTGAGAAACGTATGTGTGCTGGTTTTTAAATACTCCTAGTTTCTTGTATATGTTATCCTCATGAAACGATCAGTCATTCGGATTTTTCTGATGATGATTAGTAATGTTTTACTTAATTATGTAGACTTGAGAACTCGTGTAGGACGCATAAACGTATTACATAGTGTACTCATATATATTATCTGAATATCTGGATCGTGACTACGGTGGTAACACAAAATTACTACAGAAATTCTTGTTGTTCTTG